ATTTTGCAAAACAACAAAATGATGAACCTTCCGGACTGGAAAAATAAAGGAATCCTATACCTGGAACACATATATGAAGGATTGGTCTTCATCCCATTTAATCAAATAGTCTTCCAATTTGGAATGGATAAGAATAGCTTTTTAGAATATCACCAAATTAAATCTGTAGTCAAACAAAAATTTAAGCTCAATAAAATAGAATTACAAACACCACCAAGGGTATTAGACTTTTATAATCTCAAACCCCCCAAACTACTGTCTAAAGTATATAAGACACTGTCCAAAATAGACGATAAAATTACAATCCCTATTGAAAAATGGGAGGTGGATCTATCAGTTAGCTTTGACCAGGGCTTCTGGTCCCAAACTTGTTTAAAAACTTTTAAAATGATCAGACACCCCAATTTGCAATTAATTCAGTACAAAATTCTACACAGAGTACACTATACAGGTCATCGGATGTTCAAGATGGGGTTTGTGTCGTCTGACACCTGTACACACTGCACAAACAACATTCCTGACAATTACATTCATGCACTGTGGTCCTGCCCACCTGTCCAGGAATTCTGGGGTAGAGTATGTGAGGATCTGTCCAAATGTCTGAAATGTCATATCCCAACTTCCCCCTCTCTTTGTTTACTGGGACAGCTGCACGATGTCCCGATTGCAACATCTTTGGTTCACGTGGTTCTGACTGCCATGTGCATCGCTAAGAAAACTATCCTCTTGAATTGGAAAAATAGAGAAACTCTCTGCATTAACCAGTATAGAAATCTTTTGTTAGATCATATTGCACTTGATATAGCCTCTGCTTCCACTTCAGATGAATCTCTCTGGGCTCCTTTGATCGGTTCCATCACATAGCGAGGGTGGGGGGCCATTGATGTTGTCCTGCAGGATGGTGTGGGTGGGGGGGTGTGGGGTCTGAGTTTGGAGTATCCGGATGTTCCCTGGAGGTGGGTTCACTGGGGGTGTCTGGGACTGGGGGGCTGTTGCCCCCCTCTGGAGGTGCTTGGGTTGCCTCGGGGGGTGGACTGCTGGCGGTTGTGAGTGGGGCCCCTTGGGGATCTTGGCGGCGGCCATGGGTCACTGCCTGGCGGCTGCAATACCCCTGGGCGGGTCTGGGTGGGGGCCTGGGGGCTCGGGGTTTGGGGGTGGCCGGCCCCGTGTGGGGATCTGGGCGGGGCCTTGGGGGTCGGGTCCTGACATGTATGCTGCCGGGAAGAAGGCAGGAACACGCAGCAGTGCCTGGCCCGGGTTCGGGGGCATCAGGTAGACCATGGCTCCTCTGCCGTTCCATCACAGGGGAGGGGGAGGTCCAGGACGGGGAGGACCAAACCTTACCTGGATGTCCCATGTCTTATATATTCTCGAAGTTGTGCAAATGCAGGGGTGGGCATAGATATTCTGCTGGGATGGGGCTGGGTTGGTGCCCTCGGACTCCGTGAGGCTCTCTAATGCTGCTGCTTTGGGCCCTGGCAGGATGGGCTGGGGTCTCCATGCCCTGGGTGGCAGTTTGACAACAGAGGTGCCTATTGGGGCCAGTAGGGGAGCTGGCTCCCTGGAGGGCTAAGCCCAACCAGCCATTCCTCCCCATCCCCGCATATTTCTCTCCTCCTGCTCCCTCACATCATCACACAAACATACACATAGGACCTTGGGGGGTGGGCAAGTCAGGGAGTGCGGGTATGGACCCCATTTCCTCATTCCTGTGGCAACCTGCCCCCCAATTTTATTTGCACCTTATACACTTCCACTGACGACATTCCACACAAACACACACTTAGGGCCTTGGGAGTGAGCACATTCAACGGCATTTGGCAGGGGGATATTTCAGCCTCCTCCCGAGTGCCGGTGCCCACTTCCAATTTTAAACCGCACTTAGACACTGATGGCTGAGGGTGTAAGTGGGGTGGTGCGGTGGCATCAGCTGTCATATGCTGGATGATGCCCGCACTGCCCACTCACCACAGCCATGGAATACACCTCATGATCACACAACACTATATTGGAGAAGGTGGAGGGAGACTAGGGGTCTTAGCCACCTCTGTTGTTGCTAGGCTTCCTGGGGCTGGAGGCTAGGAGGGAGATCTGGCCGTCTGGTTGGGGTCTGGGGTGGTGGGTTGCTGTGCTCAGCGTTGGCCGGGGGAGCCTGCTCATCAGCACCCCAGCAGAAAGGGTCAAACTCTGGTTACCGGTGATGGTTGTACCCCATGTGCAGCAGTACCGGGACCAGAGTTAATAGGGTGTGTATGGGGAGCATGAGTGAGTATCCGGCGTGCATTTTTGTAAGTCTTGGGTTGTATGTGCATGTGTGAGCATGAGGGAGGGAGTGTGTGACTGTGTTTGTGTATGACTGTATATGTCAGGTGGGGCCTTTGGGTCCTCCCCTCTCCTGGAACTTCTCTTGATGATATAGATCTTTGTCCCCCCTCCCCCTGCCACACCTGGTGTGGGGGCTTGTGACATGGTCTGCCTGAGTGTTCGTGGCAACCGGGTCTGGGGGTTTAAGATTTTGGCATCTGCCTGATAGATCCCGGTGGCTGCCTGGTGGGGTCTGGGTCCCTGGGCTCTGCTGGGTCCCCGGCGGGGGTGGTCACCCCTGGGTCCCGGGCTCGGCCGGCTAGGGGGTGGGAGGCTGCGGGCGGGCCTGTGGGCTTGCCGCTGATATCTCCAGGGACTCTGCCGGCTGATGGTTGTGGCCCCCCGGGGCAATCCTCTGTGCCTCTCGAGGGGGGCGGGGGCCTTTCTGGTTGCAGTCTCCTTGGGGTTCCTGCATTCTGGGGCAACGACTGGATCTCTGGGACTTGGAGCTCCCCCCGTCTCCTGCGCATCTTTGGGGGGCGGATCTGTGGTCCCTCACACTCTCTGTTGGACGCTCCTATAGAGAAACCTTAAATAAACAAGCGCGTGTACACACACAGGTGCTCACATGGTGCTCTCAAAAGTATGGGCTTGGGCACGTTCAACACATGTCTTAAGACTATGGGGGGCACTTAATGCGTTGTGATTTATTATCGTGATTCTTCAGTTAAGCAATGTTGATTATATATATATATATATATATATATATATATATATATATATATACATATATATATATATATATACATATATATTGGGTTTTTTTTTTGTTTTGTTTTTTCATCAAGTTGACGCAGTGATAGGTAGATCTTGTTGTATTGTTGTTGTGTCCCTTTTTTTTTGTGTCCTTTTGTTTTTTTTTTTTGTCTTTTTCTGCAGGTCTAGAAGCAGACTCTTGTTCATTGTTTATTTTTGTGGACCCCCCCCCCCTCTCTCTCCACCTTTTCTCTTCCTTTCTCTTTCACCTCTGTCTCCGTGTCTGGTCGGAATTACAAAGCATTCAACAACATTAACAATAAAGTTTTAAGTATCAGGCGTGACATTAAAAGCAAACACTTTGATGCTCCACCCAAGAATAAATCTGTAAGGCTTGTCACCAGCATTCAGACATCAATTCTGCTTGCTTCACAGCCAGACAGGACACGGTAAAAAAAAAAAAAAAAAAAAAGAGCTAAAACACATTTTTTTTCAATTATTATGCTCATGTTATGTTTTCATATTTTAAAGACTTACTTGTGCATGAGAAAGGTCGCCAACTCTGCATACAATGAGGTACGTCCTCAGACGCTCGAGCACATTCTGTGATTGACTTCTATACGTGAGCGGTGGTCTAACACTATGGTTAGTGCTGATCGGCACTCATTTTATATTGCATTGACCTCTACAGGTCAATGAAACGTGATCTTCTTAAATCTGTGGCTCACATGGTGAAAATCAGGTGACCACTGAAGGTGGTGTGATGGTTATAACTGTCATGAATCCTTGAATTTTTCCACTGACGCAGAAACACAACATCTCCAACCTCCAGCAGAAGTGTGACACCATTAGCAGCATTAGCATGGTGAGAAGACTGATGCTCGTATGCAATAAAGATATGTTCTCCATTCTTAAACAACACAGCTCCTGAACCATGTGAAGCATGTCCTTGGCCATGAATGTAGAACTCAAAGTGATAGACTCCTCTCACAGGAGCGATGAAAAAACCTGTAAAACATGTTTTAATGAAAACATGAATGTTAGGTTATGTGGCTAGTCTAAATTTGTGTGAGAGAGGGTTTTCCATCCATGATGGACTAGAGATAAAATCAAGTTCACATTTATTCTGACTCTGTGTGTTCAGAGAAAATGAACAAATTAATAGTATTTAGTGAAACTGAGTACCTGTATTTGGGTTGTAGGCATTTCCAATGTTAGTAACAACACGTCTGAAGACCAGAGGTGTTTGAGCATTAAAAGGTCCAATATCTTCCGAGCCTGATTCAATCAGAGAGGCTGAGAAAGCCACTTGTTTCAGACACAAAAACTTCATTAGTTGTCTCAAAATTATTTGGTGATCAGTTTTTTTTTCTGAGCTAAAAAAACCCTCAAAATATTGGGTGTCAAAACAATTACTGAGTTCAGTTTAACTTTTGCATTAGCAATTTTACCATATTAATTTTATAGATTTTCTTTGTTTTGTTTTAACCCTCTCAGGCTCAAAATAAGTTTTGATAAAAGGACGAACAACTAAGTCCTTCAGGGCTACTTCTGAGTCAAAAACTGCTCATGAAATACGTTTGTGGAGTAACCAGGTAGGTAGGTTTTAACAATGCAAATCTGCAACATCTGCCTCCAGAGGGTTAACAAACCTTCTCCTTCTCTCCTCAGAGCCTCCACTTGGTTTTCAGTGATGTTTGCGGAGGCTTTAATGGTGATCAGTTCTCCTTCATGAGCTGAAATTACAGAAAGCAAAATCAATCAGATGGCAAAAAAAATTAAAACCAGACAGCTTTCACTGTACATTATACATGAACAATCTGACTAGGGTCTTTTAAAGATGAACATTGTTTGTTTTGTTTTTGTCCTGATTAATATAGATGTGTAATGTTTAAAAAATCCATTAGTTTACTTAACAATAAATGATGAACAGTAAATACCTTGGTCCTGTTGCTTCAACTTGTCCAGCTCTCTCTTTTGTAACTCAAGTTCTTTTTTATTTGCTAGAAAATTTAGAAAACAATTAACTGGTTTTTAAACAGTAACCAAAAGTAGCACTTACAAGTAAAAAGGCCCTTCTTATTTCTGATTTGTAACTTTACATCTACTGTTTTTTTTTCATCATTTCCAATACCTTGGTCCTGTTGCTTCAACTTGTCCAGCTCTCTCTTTTGTAACTCCAGTTCTTTTTCATTAGCTAGAAAATTAAGAAAACAATTAACTGGTTTTTAAACAGTAACCAAAAGTAGCACTTACAAGTAAAAAAGCCCTTCTGATTTCTGATTTGTAACTTTTACATCTACCGTTTTTGTTTTTTTCATCGTTTCCAATACCTTGGTCCTGTTGCTTCTGCAGCTCCAGTTCTCGTGTTTTAGCTGTTAGTGTTTAGGAAAAAAAGATCAAGCTATTTCTATTAAGTTACTCTAGTTGTACTTAGTCAACATACCTTCATTTTCTTTCTGTAAGTACTTCATCTCCACCTTCAGTCCAGCCAGTGAGGCGCTCATCTCTCTCAGCACAGCACTGATGTCCTGTGTACATGTTTGTTGGTGCTCTGAGGGATTTCCTGCTTCTACGTGTGAACCTGCTGGCTTCAAATATGAATTTGAGTGAGGATCAGGTTGCTTTTGAAGCTGTGCCGCAGTAAGAGAGCAGATTAACAACAGTGTAAAAACCACTGTTACATCCATTTCCTGTCAGGCTCTGCGGGTCAGCTTTGTGCTTTCTGTGTGACTCAAGCCTTAAATACAGCTTTTGTTTGCTTAAATATTAACTGACTCTCAGGTGATATGACTTGGTACTTTGAACTTATTTTATTATAATAAAAACACAATTTTGGCCTTAAAGCAACAAGTTACATTTATATAATTTATAATATAATATAGTAAACTGAGTTTGTTTCTGAATCTACAAGTCTCGTCCTCCTCTCAGAGGTTCCATTTGCTTTTCTGAGATGTTTGCTGCAGTTTTAATGGAGATCAGATAGGAGATGAAAATGAAAATCAGTGTGAAATTAAATGTTGTCTGATGCATTAACAACTCAAATTCTCTAATCTTAGCTCTTTGCATCATAAAATAAAAAAATGAAAATTGTAATTAAAGAAGGTAAATAATGAGATATTTAGAAATAAAAAAAAACTATTCTGAGAGATTATGAGTTTCTGTTTTAGATTCAGAAAAAGGCTCAGTTCCAAACAAACAAACAGTGTTGTTTCCAGGGAAACAATCAAAACTATCATGGGAGGAAATAACATTGACTTTATTTTTACTACAGCGTCATTATTTTCCTCTAGAATGACTTTGCCCTTAAACTGAAGACAAAGCTAATGCATCAACTGACCCATTTAATGACTTACTGGTTAAAAACAACTTATTTTTTACTTATCAAAATTAAAGTTGCTGTGTACATGTTTGTTGGTGGTGTGAGGGATTTCCTGCTTCTACATGGGAACCTGCTGGCTTCAAATATGAATTTGTTTCATTTTCAGGCTGCGGAAGCTGAGCCTCAGTAAGAGAGCAGATTAACAAGAAAAGTGCAAAAAGAATAGGCATTTTTTTCCAGTGAAGTGTAATGGTTTATGGCTCTTTTATTAAAGAGGAACCATTCTACATATTAATTTGAGATATTAATTTTAATAAATTAATAACCAAATTTTATAGTGTTAAGAAGACTCAAAGGTTGTTTTCATCGATAAACTGACGATCATATCCGTGTGTCTGTGTTTCAGTTCAATGAAAAGACAAGTTTGAAATGTAAGTGTTTTAATTCTTCAATTTGAACTAATGATTTGAAATGACAATCATAGGAAAAATAATCAACACTGGCAACCTTGTTGGACAATCTTTAACAGTTGATATTTTAAGCTTGCACAAATAGACCTTGTGTTGGATGTGCTAAGATTTGAGAATGATGGAATTATGAATGCGTGTGTGTATGTGTGAGATTGCTTCAGGGAGAGAAAAGGTGAATCTGAGTGAAAATGATGGTTTGAATTAAACTTAGTTCTTATTAGAAAAGATGCATCAGAACGCTATCTGGTCGTGGACTGCCTCACCGACTTTCGCACCCTCTTTCGGACTCGGAACTCGGACGGTGTTCATCCCGGTCACACCTTGGCTGGCAGAGGAGACGAAGGTGTGCAACGCTCCGGTCCAGAGATGACCTCGGTACACGTTGATGAAGCGTTTGGCAGATGCGCTTTCTCAAGTTTAAATTAACTCAGAAATCAAAGACTCTGGCCGAGTCTGCGTTAGCTGGTTGTGTTTCAGCTATCCTGTCTGGCTTGACAGGAATAGCGTGGGGGTGGGTGGGTGGGGGGGTGGGGGGTGGTGGTGGGGGGGGGGGGGTGGCAGGAGCCGGCGGCTCCGTTCCCCGTTGGCGTTTGTTCACACGTCCTCTCTCTCTCGTAGTCCAACTCGAACTGAACCGAACTGACTATCTTACCAAAAGCCACTTCTCTTCCCAAAGCAAACTTGTGCGTCAGAGCAAATGTGTTTTGGAGTTACTGTGAATGCAGACCTGTGTGAGCGAGTGTGAAGGTCATCACCAAACATCTCCCAACACATTATTTAATTAAGTATTGATTCATTATAGTTCATTATGATTACCCAAAGCATAATAATCATTCATTTGATTAAAACACATTTATAATGAGCAAAATGATAAAATGATTATTCAACATTGAATATAATGAAAAGGAAGTTTAAGACTTTGTTTTGTTATGACTAGATTTCATGAGAACTCCTTCTTCGGGAAGCTGCAGGTGTTAGATGTTGTGGTTTGCTGCAGACTCGCTGGCGGGGAAGGTCTTTATCTGTGGGTGAAAGTTCTGCGCGACCCAGCTTTTGACCCAGCCGGGCAAATACAACCTTTGGCACAGAAAACCCATATTTCCTCACGTTACACCAGTGTCGGCTTTTGCAGGTCAGACTTGTGCTTTCTGTAATAACCCAGGCCTTAAATACAGCTTTTATTATCAGTGGTTAAATATTAACTGATTTTAGTCACAGGAACATTCCCAGAAGGTATAATCTGGCACTTTGAACTTGTTTGTTTCTGAATCTAAAAATCTGGTCCTCCTCTCAGAGGCTACATTTGTATGTGGGCTGCTTTTAAATGTTTAACTGAGTTGGCGCCACGTTATCTGGCGGATCTGATCCATCCTTATGTTCCCGCAAGGAACCTTCGGTCAGCACAACAAGGACTGTTGGTCGTTCCTAAACACAGACTACAATCTCGAGGGGGTCATGCTTTTTCGGTGCTGGGGCCAAGGCTCTGGAATGAGCTACCTACATGTGTTAAATAGGCCACCACACTCGGCAAGTTTGTGTCACGGTCTGGGTTTTTTTTCACACACTAATTGGTGTAGAGTCTCATCTCTCCTCTGCAGGTGGGCGTGCCTGGAAGTTGGGAGGCTGCAGGTAATCTGCTGATTAGCTGGCCATGGATATTTAAGCTCCTGAGAGACGCCTTCACTTCGCTGGATGATTAACTCAACTTGGGTATTTCTCCTAACAGCCAAATCCAAACTAAGCTTTGATTTTGAGAATTTCTGGGTTATGGATTTTTGATTTTTGAGATCTCTGTGTTTTTGACTGCTTGTTTTGCCTCCTGCAGATATCACCTATCAGTTCACCTCGTTTGCTGCTACCAACCTGGTTTCTTCACTGTCCACTCGTCTCTCAGCGTCCTCCTCTGGTCTTCCCACTCCAGGCTGCCCACCCTCCCTCCTGGATCACCATTACCCTTCATGCTCAGCTCCCTCCTCATTTGGACTCCAAGCTCATCAGCCTCCAGTAAGCCTCCTGCCCTCCCCAGACCGGTCCCTCCTCCCTCTCTCACGAGGTCTCACCTCCAACCTGTAAGTTCCATCAGATCCAACATTCAGATTTCCGAGTGCCAGACCTAACTCTCCCTGTTCCTCCAGGATTCTCCACACCCGAACCTCGCTTCTCTGCCGAATACTGCTAGACTTCCTAGCAGCTCCTTCTGTTCTCCTTTTCTAATAAATTATTGTTTGCGATCTTCTTTGACTCTGTGGACTGATTCTGTATGTCGTGGGTTAGGCATCTACCACACAACATGACAGAATCATCCAGCCAGAATCCTAACCTCAGTACCGAATCAGTTCCACCTGTTATCACCGAAACCTTATCACAACACAGTTTAGCCCTTCATTCCCTCACCAAACAACTGTCAGACGCTAACCAGACTCTGTTTCAGTTGGGTGCGATGGTTAAACAATTAAGTGAACAGCTCACCAATCCGGAACCCTCTGCTCCTCCTGCTCCGAGTCCGCCCGGACCCGTTACCTCGGCACCATCCATCCCGCCCAACTTCCGGGTTGCCTTGTCTCCTCCCCCCGAGACGTTCGACGGGGATCTAAACGTTTGTAGAGGTTTCCTCCTCCAGTGTAACTTGGCTTTCCAACGCTCCCCGGAATCTTTTGCAACCGACGCAGCCAAGATTTCCTACATTGTCGGATTACTGCGCGGCAAGGCCCTCAGGTGGGCAGAAGCCAAGAGCCGCTCTCCGAACTTCCTTGCGGGCCCATTTACTGAGTTTTTATCCGAGTTTAACTTGACATTTGACAAATCCGAGCCCGCCTCAGAGCTAGCAAAACGGCTCTGGAACCTCCGCCAAGGCAAGCAATCAGTGGCTGACTTCGCCATCGAGTTTAGGACCCTGGCATCGGCTTCCACTCTCGACGAGGATTCATTAAAAGGGGCGTTTTCACAAGCCTTAAACGAGCGCCTCCAAGACCAGCTGGCTTTCTGCCAGGAACCCACAAACCTGGAGGACTTGATAATGCTCTGCAACCGGATCGAGAGGAGACTGAATGACCGTCATAAAGGTAACAATTCGTTTTTTCATCTTCAGACCCATACTCAGTCCAGGGCGGCCCAACCAGCACCATCCTTTCTCCCCAGCGAACCCATGCAGTTGGGCCGGGCTAGACTAAGCCAGGAGGAACGAGATAAAAGAATGAGATCTGGTCTTTGTTTGTACTGTGGCCTAGCTGGCCATTTCGTGTCTGACTGTCCCAAGACTTTAAACTCCAGAGCCCACCAGTAGAACCTAGGATACTGGTGGGCGGTTCATCTGCACTCATGAAGTCTCGGTGTGCTTTAGACTGTTTTTTAACCTTCAGTAAAACCTCAATATCCACCCGAGCCCTGATTGACTCTGGATGTGAA